TGCCCGGGCCCCGCTGCTGGGCGTGAGGGGCAGCACAGGGATGGATCTTGTCATCATCTGCGAGACTCGGTGAGTCAGGCGCCACCTCAAGCAGATGCTTTTGGCCACTGTTCCAGTGGGCTGAGCTGGGAAACAGCCCCGAGTTTCGGCCCAGCGAGTCTCTCCGAGCTGTGCTTGTGAGTGTGGCCAAGCGCTGTGGGAGTGGATTCGCAGAGCTGAATCTTTGCTGCAGCCGTCATCCGGGACAGCTGCTCAGAAACCTGTGTTACCATAATCATGTTACCAGTGCTAAGTGCTGAATCATGCACCTACCAAATCTGTCAGCAAAAAAATTTATAGGTAAAACATAAGTCACTACATCTCTTTAAAGTGTTGGCAGCATTTTGTCAGGGTATTTGGATCTTCTAAGTATATGAGCTTTCCAAAATATTAATTTAATTGCACAGCCGCCTTCTTATCTAATTTGCCCCTAGCCAGATTTTAAAATGATTCAAACTTCAAAGACGATAGTAAACCCACATGCACAAAGACACTTGGAAAAACGATTTCTTTGAAATGTAACTGATTACAAACTAGTGTTGGTTCTCTGTGCTTTCCTTGCAGCATTAGCTCTTCTGTGGGCATGGAACGCTCTTGTAATTTGTCAACCGCTACCACCATTTAGGATCAGTTAAGCTTTCTCACATTAATTAAAAACTATAATTAAATAAGCACAAAGCCCTCACTACGACTCAGTCTCAGAGTGTGCATCTGGCCCTTGTTTGAGATGGGGAGAAAAAAAAAAAGAAGTTATGTCAGAAATTTCCGGGATGTTTTCTTTTGATTACCTCCTAAAGCAACTCTGCTAAAATGGTAATGGCTGGGAAATAGAGAGAGAAAGACATCTTTTATTGAGGTGGAAAAGACTGTGGCAAATCCTACTATTTTTGTTGCATTTTGATCTGAGAGTGCAGTAGAAGACTAAGAGATCAGGAACAGAAGCTGCAAAATAAATATTATTGCAAAATATCTTTTAATATTTAGCCCTGTAACATCTCAGTGAACTTTACTTGAAATTTACTCTTACTGTCCCATATTAACACGAAGGGGGAAGATGAGTGCTAAAGAAGCAAATTTACCCTTGGAAGTGGCTACAACTGTATTTAATAGCTATATATTTATGTGTTTTAAAGGATTAGGATATGGTTTCTGAGTATATTTGGGAAAGAAAGAAAGAAGAACTCTGCATAAGGTTGATCATATTGCACAAGATCTGCCACCACTAATAAAATTTTATTCCTTTTGTGTTGTTTTAGTGAGCAGATGAAACAGGGACGGTAGGATACCTCAATATCTCTTGATGGAGAGGATGTATATGTTATAAAGTTTTCTAACGATTAAACTGTCCTGATTGTAAAGACAATACTTATTTCCTCATAACTCCCCATCTAGATCTCATGAGAACTGTTAAAAAACATTTGTTGAGCAGCTGTCTCTAGAAGGAAGAGTGCACTAGTGAAATATATTTCTTAAATGGATACAGATTTTGATGGATTGCTGTTTGGAGTTCTTAAAAAAAGATTTGAGAGTGAAAAAATGTTCACTTCTAAATACGCTTATTTTTCTACAAAAAAGAGGTTCAGAATTACATATATTGAGCAGAAAATTTGGAGTTCACAAAGTAATTTTTTGAAGGTGGGAAGCATGCATGATAACTGCTGGCTTTATAGCTGAGTTTAGTTTAAAAGAAAAAAAGAGGATCTTTTTCAAGACAGAAATTCCCTTTTTATCAGCTCAAGGTCATTATTTCTGTGATGGAAAATGGCAAAAGGGAAATTTCTTTGTTTGTTTACTTTTTCTTTATTCCTATGTTCAAGTAAAAAACACATCTTAGGAGACTGTAATGTCACTTGTGAAATCATAGTGATAACCCCACATTTGGGTCATCTAACCCATTTGGGCTGGAAATGAGTTGATGATCAACTAACCCAGCTCCTCATCTTCCACTGGACCAGATTGCTCTGAGCCCCATTCACCCTGGCCTTGAACACTTCCAGCAATGGGCCATCCACGCTTCTCTCTGGGCAACCTGTGCCAGTGTCTCACCACCCTCACAGCAAAGAATCTTTTTCTAATGTCTTATCTAAACCTGCCCTCTTTGAGTTTAAAATTGCTCCTTCTCCTGTCACTGCAGACCTTGGTAAACTGTCCCTTTCCAGCTCTCTTAAAAGTCCACTTTGATATATTGAAAGGCCACAATGAGGTTATCCTGGAGCCTTCCCTTCTCCGGGCTGAACAGCCCCAGCTCTCTCAGGCTGTCCTCATGGGAGAGCTGCTCCAGCCCTCTGATCATCTTCACAACCCTCTTGTGGACTTCTGTGCAGACTAAAGGAAAGAAATATATATCCTGTGCTTTATCTGGTCCCTTCTTCCCATGCAGGTAAATCTCAAGAATTAGAGAAGGGGAAGACCCAAGAAATACTCCTCTGAAATGGTAGTAGACACAGGGAGTTGTGTAAGCAAAACCTCCTGTGAGGCTGCTGAATGTGATCTGTTAAAATTTATATCACTGCTTTTCCACTAATTCTGAAGACAGTAAAGTGCAAGGTCAAACTTGTTCTAAGCCTATCAGATGTAGCCATTTGTCCACCATTTCCAGGAGGAAGAAATGGCTACACTTGGACAGGAAGGCAAAATCATGATCCAAAAGCAAAGGGGATTTTGGTAGCATTATGAAGCACTTCTTCAGAATGTGCTTTGCTAGAGAATTATTTTAGGAATTGGGATTTCTGTTTCCAATTATAAAAATCTTAAGAAGTTATCAGAAAATGCAAAGCTGTGTACATCAGAGGCACTGTGGCTAATTTATGTGTGTGTATGGGAAAAGCTGAGGTGCCTTATCCTTGCAATCTATGTACTTCTGATGGGACAGTCCTTTCTGAAGGTTCTGGCCCCAGATCCATCATGTTACTTAGTAACCTGAAGATTTCTGGTGGCAGGGGCAAGAGTTAAAGCAAAAACATGCCAGAGGACCTAGTGACACCCTGGTGGCTTGAGAGGTGTCTGCTCAGTGCATGTGTCTCCTTCTGGAAAGGCAGGAGAAGGTGGGTCATGACATGTCCTCACTGCATGGCTGAGGGTCAGGTTGAGGAACCTGGATCACACTGAAGTGAACAGTTACATCCAAATCATGCAGCACAGTGTACACAGAGATCATGTTTGGCTCGTGCCAAAACAGTCTCCATGTGAGAAGACATCTACTCCATATGAAAAGACATCTACTCTCCACAAAGTTGATTAGCTCAAGCACAACACAGGGGCAACCTACACCACCACAGCTATCTCTGTTTATGTTAATTTGAGCTAAATCAATCTCTTATGCCTCATTACAGCATGTAGAAATATCCTTTCATTTTTTGTGTATACATATGATAGCATTCATTAAAACCACCCATGTCTGTCTCCTGGTAAAATTGGGCAGTCTCACATTTTAGAAGAAAATCAGAATTCAGGCTGAAAGGAAGTCAGGGTAGGGACTTTCTAATAAGGAGCCCTGCAGTCTGTGGACTGCTATGGACTCTTTGAAGTTTTTCTAGGCATATTTTCAGGTTTTTGATTGCTTGGCTCTAAAAATCCATGTACTAAATTGAAGCAGCCAACTGATGTTTCAATTGTTCAGTGTGTATCTGTGCTGACCAGCTTTGAAGCTAGATTGAATTTTTGCTAAAATCTCCTCATCTGTGTCCTGGAAAATGCCTCTTCTGGGAAT